CAATGAATACCTATGAAGCTGCTCCGTGCACTTCACCTTACGGTAGCGACGCACGCGAATAGTAAAAGGTGCGCTCTTAACGGCCGACGCTGACACGCGACCTCGCTCGGCAAGCAGAAACACGGAACGCTCGTGCATGGGTAAAACGTCGCGAGCGAACGCGCTTGATTCTTCCAGATCTCCTAACTCCTGCGAATTCCTCTGGGAAATTCCAAGGATCTACCAGATGCGAACTGGAGATCTCTCTCCAGTTACAAATTCATGCGATTTTTGTTCTCAGAAAATGAAGATATATTTTTCTTGTATTTATATATTGCAATGCACATTCTTAATAATCATCTTTTAGCAAATGCACTGATAGAAAAATATAGTTGAATTAACTATAATCTCACTATATTTTATAGTTCATTTTGGCCTCAACCATATTTTTATAGTTGGTGGAACCTGCAAAATATAGTGGAATAAACACAAATATATAGTCAATGATTGTCTTAAATAATTGTTTAGTTACTTTTACCACCATATATGCTAATTTCTCATTCACAAATGTAGTGAGATTTAATATTCATATAGCAAATATTCAGGTATTAATATTGACTATACGAAAGAGTTACTTTTACCTGCCATTTTATATTTGTATCCATACAATAATTTTAGTTTAACTTACTATAATTCTTAGTAAAAATATTATATGCTTGGTTATACTATGCCTGTATCGTAATTATTAACGATGTTATGGTACTTTACTTACTATAAATATGATATTTCGGACTATAATTTAGTTACTATATTATTATAGTTTTAAATATCATGTACTTTTCTCTCAATGTGAAGAGTTACAATGTCCGAGGGCGCGTACGCCACTTTGTACGTAAAACAGCTATGCCCTTTTGCACATCTCTTTTGCAGCTGAGAGAGAGAGAGAGATAGTCGAGTTAGTTCCCAATATCCGAAAGCCCGTAGTCCCCTCGAAAGCCCGTAATCGACTTTGATTGGACACTCCTGATATGATATAGTACGCCGTAGGCTGGGATTTTTTGAATAATGCGTTTTCAGTCTGCCGGAACGAGGAAATGGCGTTCTATAAATAGCGGAGCTAATCCGAGAAAGGGCGTATATAAAATCGCGCGATTCTATTTTTTACATCCTACCTCTCGGCGAGTTCTATTTCCGCGGAACTGATCCCTCGTATTATCATTCGTACATGTTTCGTGACATTTTCGTGAACTGCGCAAACCTGTCGACGATGTCGTACATCTATTTTTGTCAATCGTACTCGTACGCTTCTTCCGCAATAATTTTATCAGTCCCGACTGCGTGCTTAATCACAAAAGACTACGATACGAAAATATCCCCCCGGCGATTGTAAATGTGTCCTCATGCGCGTTATACGTAGAAGAATCACGTGAAAAAATAGCTCTCTCTCTCTCTCTCTCTCTCTCTCTCGCACAATTTATTTTCGCAACTTTTAATAATCCCCGATTCAAAAGTGAGGACGCAAAATTATCGGTTTCCAACGCGCTTCCTAACGTATTTATTTTCATTTTAATACTCCCGAGAGCGGGCAAGTTCCGCGAACGCGTTGGCGGCGGCAAGTCAGCTCCGTGCCGGAAATCCATTCGGGACGAAAGAGGCCGTTCCGGGCGGAAGGAACCGACGATCGTTCCGAGTACATCGGTCCTCCGAGTGGTAACGCGATAATGCACGACGGCGACTTCCGGCCGGGAGGCGTCCCGTTCGTTTTAACGGTGATAATAAATTTGGCGCGGGTGTTTTATGCAAGGCCGCGCGCTCGCCCGCGAATTCCGGCGAATTTTCATCCGTTATACCTGTCAGCCGCGCGGCCACGCTTACCTACTCGAACGCGCGTCCATTAAATGCGCGATTTCTTTCAGCGCTCTGATATAAATCCGAGTTCTTACATTTCTCGTTGTGCTACGCTACGTACATATATACAAGGTGGGGCAATAACTATCAGGACCTTAAATATCTTCGAATCTATAAGGCCCGGAAGAAGATTTGATTTACTAACTTTTGTTAACTTGCTGATTTTTGGAAATTTTGAAATCATCAAATTAACAAAAATCAGGCCACTGTTGTAACAATGTATTCTCGAGACTAAATAAAGCAAGAAAGTCTAGTACCACTTTTTCTTCCGACAAATAGTTAGCGAGATATCGTAAGTTAATTATTTAAAAAATTATCAAGTTTCCCTCAAATATCTCAAAAAATATTAGGCAAATGAAGAAATGTTTTAGACAAAATTTGTTCAAATTAATTGATGGGAAAAGACAGTGTAATAAAAAATTAGGGTTCCCATTTAAAAAACGCAAGTTGACCTTGGTATGTCCGAAGCGCTTCCACCTGGACAAAAATTATTGTCACTATACGACAGCCCCCTTCGTACCGTGTAATTTTGGTTACACAAATCTTCTTCTGGGTCTTATAGATTCGAAGATATTTAAGGTCCTAATAGTTATTGTATAAACGTCGTTACTCAATCTCGAATAACTCGCGGCTAATCCCCTTAATACCGAACAGACTCGAAAAAAAGAAGGAGTACTCGAAAAAAAAGTATTCTATTTGTAAAGTGATCTCTCCCGCAGTCTCATATTCTGAGCGAAACCTTTGTCAGAAGAAGCATTCCTCTTTCAATAAAGCGGTTAAAATAGCAAAGAGGCCGCATATAAGAATAAAATCCTCTAAAATTTAGATGATTCCGCTTGTTCTGAAATTACTTTTTTTTTGGGTGAGATGAATAAAGAACCCAATCTCAAGGAAATCTATATAAATTTCAGAATGTCACCGAGCCTTTCGAAGTCGCGTGCCTGACATTTCGCGTGATTTTGAATTTTGAGAGAGCGCGGCGGTGCGGAAAAGCAGAGAAAGTATTTTAATAATAAATAAAATAGGATTTGCGTTCATCCGCTTACCCGTCCGTAAAATGTCCGCCCGCGATATTACGCGTCGCAAAAATATCTTGTTATTAGGAAAATCAACCGAGCGACAGTATCGGCGTAATAGGGCGACCCAGCGTGAAAAATCACGTGCCTACCGTCATCGCAAGCTCATTCGATCGAATAGTAATTTCATCTCTCCGGCTTGTGGGAGGATGACGTATGTAGCTGGCGGCTCGAGATTTATTCAGTGTAATTGCAATTCAGTTTTAATTACGTCGTTTATTTATACGCGCGCGTTGAGAGCGGCGGCGGCGGCGACTCTCGCGAGCGACTCCGCGCGAAACTCGCCGATTCGGAAAGCGCCGCGACGGAATTGCGCCGTAATAAAACGAACAGCCGATCCGATTCGAGACTTGAGATTTTCCGTCCGTCCGAGCGGGAAAAACCTAGTTCGGCCCGCAGGCCTGTCGTGTCGCCATCGACAGGCCTGCGGAAGACTGATTTCCGGCAGGAATAAAAAGCGAGGACGATTCAATGACGAAGGGAAATAAAAAAATAAAAAAGTAAAAGAAATACCCACGCGAGAATTGCGCACGAAGGAGAAAAATCGATTGAATGAACGATTGAGCGACAACAAATGAACTGAACGAGTTTCGAACGGGTCGAGGGAAACGGAATTTTTGGTTTTTACAACTGGGAATTTGGGTTTGGCGACAGCTGAAAATTCTGTTTCCTCCAACCAAGATGCGTTCATTCGACTTCCGACTTTCGTCGCGCACTCAAGTGCCGCACTGAGAGAAAGATATATGATATTTGGAACTATAATGATATAGTAACTAAATTGTAGTCCAAAATATCATATTTATAGTAATTTATAGTAATTTATAGTAAAACGTATTACCATAATATCGGTAATAATTACGATATAGGCATAATATAACCAAGCATATAATATTTTTACTAAGAATTATAATAAGTTAAACTAAAATTATTGTATGGATACAAATATAAAATGGTAGGTAAAAGTAACTCTTTTGTATAGTCAATATTAATACCTGAATATTTGCTATATGAATATTAAATCTCACTACATTTGTGAATGAGAAATTAGCATATATGTGGTAAAAGTAACTAAACAATTATTTAAGACAATCATTGACTATATATTTGTGTTTATTCCGCTATATTTTGCAGGTTCCACCAACTATAAAAATATGGTTGAGGCCAAAATGAACTATAAAATATAGTGAGATTATAATTAATTCAACTATATTTTTCTGTCAGTGCGCGAGTGCGCTCGTTCGGCTTCGCAAGTTCCATCCGCTCGTGGCGTGTTCGAAGCTCGAAGGGTCCATGCGAGGTATCGCGTCGTGCCGGAAAGTCACCGCTTCGGAAAGTCGGCCACTTCTCTCGGAGCATTCGAGAAGAGAAGCGCTCGCCATAAATACCCGCGTTACGGCAATTTATTTAATTCGCCGATCGAAATAGCCCGCGCGCGCCGCCGAATTCCCGAGTGGCTTTTCTTCTCTCTCACTCTTCCTTTTTTTTAACGACTCGCAGACTCTCGGGGATCGGAAGACCCCCCTCGGACGTCGGCGGGCGTCTCGTGTTCTCTCGCCGACCCCGGCGAGAGCCGGGAAAGAATTCTCGTAGCCATTGATCTCGCCGGCGCGGCGGTGGCCTCGCCGCTTCCGGTAGCGCTGCGACTTGCCGCGCGACTTTTAATGGTAACGGCACGCGAAAATTCCGGCGAGTCTCATTCATCGGTCGGCGGCGGCCGGTAAATAAATAAGATCGCGGCCGACAGTTATTGGGGAATGCGCGAACGTCCGCAGTAATTCACGCGACGGCCCGCATTTCGCGTGCGTAAGTGCGTGATGCGAGTCGCGCACTCGCGGGCGAGCGAGCGAGGCTCGCGTCCGCTCGTAACTCAAGCGGGATCGTTAATATCCCGCGGGATGAATCTAGCTCGTTAGTCCTCCGCGAGGCTCCCAAGGACAATCCGCAAGATTTGTCTCTCCCACCTCTGCGGGCTTATTTATGCGCGTCTCTTTTCTATTTTTTCCTTTAATTCGCGCCGTCTCGCGATTTGAATTTCAGGGTGAGGGAAGGATGAAGAATGCCCCGCGTCGGCGGAGGAGACGGGGGTAGCGGGCCCCAGAGGACAGGAGGCGCTGGCGGTTTCGGAGGATGGCTGGGGGGCGCCGCGAGGGCCATGACGGGCGGAGGTGTCGGCAGTGGATACGTCGTTCTGGGCGGCACCAGATACGGTCTTCGGATCTCTCAGGTATCGTACGGCGCTCACCTGTAAGCGCAGTCACCTGTGCACTCACGGTAGGTGTAGTAAGCTTTCGGTCCTTCGCTCGAAACCCGACGAAAACGAGCCGTCACTTGATTCTCGGCCGAAGGCGTTCTCCCCCCCCGCTGCTGCCCAAAGTCGTGTGATCCTGAAGCTTCGAGCGAGCTTGCCAGGTTTCAGCTGATCGAGGCAGCGTGGAAAATGAAAATTTCGGCCGGAAATTTATAGGGACTTGGAGCGAACGGCTCAAGGTCACGGTCCACACCTAGCACTGGCCAGGTCCAAGTATTGAAAAAGCGAAAAAGAAAAGGAGGAGCGAGATGCACCGAGCGGGAAGGGGAAGGCGACCGGTAAAATAGCATGAGCGAGACGAAGGATAACGACAGCAGAAATCACCGTGGCGTGGTTGAAGATGAAAAATGTCGTCAGACATGCGGCTGACGTGCCTTTTCGATTTGGAGAAAGGAGACCTATACACGTCCATCCCCGTTCCGTTCGAGTCGCCCTCACAGCCGCGCCGGGTGCCTAATTTTAGATTTATGCCCGACTGGGGATGGGGGAGGGAGGGGAGGGAATTAAATAAAATATTTGCCGCGTCTCGAGAGCGGGACAGCGGGAGCGTTACGCGACTCTCGGTGTAATATTCGTCGACGCGGAGAGCGCGTCGCGATGGAATTCCTCCGGTGCCGTCTATTTTCTTTGAACCCCGGCCACTTCTCGGCGGGGTTCGACCTTCGATCGCGCCGCGACAGCGGCGATTCGCGACAACAAAATCAAGACGTCGAAGGACCTAAACTTAGAACCGATCGCGTAAATAGAATCCGCCAGTCACTGACTCGAGCCGATTTCGCTCGAGCCGGCTCCCGCCTCTCTCGTCCCCCCCGCCTCGCCTCTCCGCCCTGACTTTCCGCCTCTCTTTTCGCGGTTTGTCCGCGAAATAATAAGCGCCGTTGACGTCACAGCCGACACGTACGACCGGCGTGAATCTCGCGTGTGACACGCGTTCTCGCTCGTCGTCTCCATCGCTCTTTTTTCTCTCTCTCTCTCTCCCTCTCTTTCATTGCCAAGCGCTACCGAAATTCGTATAAATCGTCGCTACTTGTCCCCACGTGGATCGATGACGCCATTATCGATGCCGGCCTTCCGAAAATATTACCTTGGGCGCCGCGATATAAAAAAGACCGGCCGGGATTTAAGCTCGTCGCGCGACGCGACGCGACGCGACGCGACGCGACGCGACGAGCAAGATTTACGAAACGCAACGCGCCCTCGCGGGCGGGGGTATTCTCGTCGTACGTCATTTTGTTGCAAGTTTAAAAATACGAGATGCGTCCGAGACAGCGCGAGGGGGATGTTAGGGGTGCTCCTAAGTTAAGGTGCCGAGACACGCGGGGAAAATGGAAGGAAACGAAAAAGACGCATCACCGGAGACGAAATAAAGCGAAATAAAGCGAATATGAGGACGTGCCTGCGAGATGCAAAGTAGTAAATAAGGAACGAAGATACATACCGGCCGTCCCGAGGAAGTTTCCCGGGAAGTAGCATAATCCTGTTCGAAGAAACAGCCAAGCCGCTCCTCGTCAGCGAGCATTTAACTCGAGTCTCTTCTAATATAATATTTCTCCTACTTCCAAAATTGAGTTGCTCGATTTTGGCACACAAACTCGTGCAGGATCTCGAGTAGAAGAATTAATAGGGCTCTAGTAAGGACCTGATTATTTTTTCCTAACATTAATCGGGGCCTAATAGGGATAGAAAGACAAGGACTTTACAAGATCTGTCACAAATGGTTTAACGGGTCCTTACAAGGCAATATTATATGAGGCTCTTATAAGGAAATATTTTTATTATTGTTCGAGTAAAAATATTCGTTCTTTTCATTCCAAGAAATTTAGACTGTAATTCCTTTATTTCTTTATAACCTTGTTAGTATACAACAAGAATTTTTTTATTTTAAAAGGATAGCATACTTTACAATACATTATAGCATTCTTTACACATAAAAATCCTGCTACTGTTTTTCTTAAAGTTTGCTGCATTTCAAAACGAAGGCAATGTTAGAAAAATCCTTGGAAGAAACTAATGAATATGGCTACTAGTAAAACTAATAAAATTTGTTTTTAATTGCGGTACAATTAAAAAATCTTTAAAAGAACCAGGCAGAGCGTACCTACTAAAACAATACTAGACTACGATAATTTCATTACACGCTTCAGATCTTATTAATTTTCTATAACAAAACTTGATTTTACACATCTAAAGCTTCCTTAAAAGATCCTTCTAAGGCCCACATCAGTTTTCCATGTTAAAGCGTTATTTCGTAAGATTTAAGGCATCCCTAAAGAATTTAAGATTTAAGTCCTTTTAAGGTCCTTCTCAGCTTTTCAAAGCCTTACCTCGTAAAATCTAAGGTGTATCCCTAAAAAATCCATCTCGGTGCCTGATGTGGTAACAATGAGGCATCCCTTTTTAGGGCATGCTGCTTTCAGCCTTATCGGGGCCTTATCCTTCATGAGGATGGGCCCTAACAATTTTTTACTCGGGATGTTTGCACATATAGGAATTCTCTTTCATAGTAGGCAATTCTCTCCCTTCGGTAACGTCGACGAAAGTAAACAAAGCTCACCGACGATTTTGAGATTTCGCCCAAGTATCGGCCGCGCTCGCCCGTCTGTTCCAGGAGAGCCTGCCGCCGGCCAACTCCAGGGAGGAGTCGCAGGAGCGCCGGCGAAAGCGGAACTCGCGCGAGAGCGACTCCCGGGAGCGGCTGACGGAGAAACCGACGGCGGAGAAGCCGTCGATCGACCTGGCGGCCAGTATCGCCGACTGCTGCTGCATCGGTCCACGCTCGCGGCTTCCGCTTCCGCGGCTCCCAGCGGCGATCTCGTCCTCTTCGACCGCGTCCTCGACGCCGACGGCGGCGTCGCTCGCGCCGCTGCCGCCACCGCCGCCGCCACCGCCGCTGCCGCCGCCGCCGCCGCCGCCGCCGCCGTCGCTGCCGCTGCCGCCGCCGCCGCCGCCGCCGCCGCCGCCGCCACCTTCGTCGTCGTCGTCATCGTCGTCGTCGCCGTGCCCTCCGGTCGCCGCCGGTGGTTATCCCTCTGCGGCGGATATCGCGAGCGTCGGAGCTGCCGGCGGTGGCGGCGGCGGCGGCGGTGGCGGCGGCGGTGGCGGCGGCGGCGGCGGCGGCGGCGGCTGCTCGCCGCCTCTTCCTGCTTCTTCCGCGGGCATCGCGGAGACGACGTTCGCTAATAATAGTCGCGGCGCGGTGCAAACGTCGGTGGGGAACATCGGCAGCACCAGCCAGCAGCAGCAGCAGCAGCAGCAGCAGCAGCAGCAACAGCAGCAGCAACAGCAGCAGCAGTATCACCACCACCACCACCATCACTACCACCAACAGCAGCAGCACCACCACCACCAGCATTATCCACAAACAGCAGCGGCGGCAACGTCGTCGTATTCGCCGCCGCCACCGCCGACGACGACGCTGTCCTCATCTTCGACGTCGCTCGGCTACTCGCCCGGCGTCCCGACGGCGACGCAGACCGTCTCCGTGCCGCGGCAGCTCGCGCAGTGGACGAAGCATCAGACGCTTAAGTTGCAGGTACACTTAGTACTCAGTCGATCGCGCGGTCGATCGGGACTTCGCATCGGGAGGCTTGTCCCGAGACGACTTGCTCTCGCTAGTTTACTCGGCCGATCGTGTTTGGTTCTCGTTGTTCCGAGTTGCTCGCGAGTGGAAGCCCGCTTGTCCCGCGATGGGCTCTCGCGGACGCCCTCGTCCATGGGCCGCATGAGGCCACGCGAGCTTCGCGCGTACACCTGGTGAGGTGCGAGAGGTGCTTGCAAGGGATACAAGGTGGAGTGGCTTAGGTCCGGAAGACTCTGTGTCAGCAGCCCCGAGGTAGGTCTCAAGGTCACCGTGAGCAAGTTTGTCCCTTCGAGCACCGCGCGACGGCTGCTAAGACTGCCAACGGCGGCCTGAAGACGACCTTACAGTCGGGGTAAAGGGGGAGAGCAGCGGGTCGCGGGTCGCGGATCGGGAAGGTTGGGCGCGCTTGAAGGAAAATTTAAACTTTTCGCCGCTGCTGCTTTGAGCGCGTCTGAAAACGTCTGAAGTCTTCGAAGATATATTTCTCCCGTAAGGCTTTGTGAGCTAAAAGTCGAAGGTGAACCTTTATTCGAAGATTTCGGGCGCTCGAAGGTCTCTGAAATAGTCACTGCGGCGTATTGCTCGATTTATGACACGATACGATTTTTCGGAATCATGCACGGGAGATCTTTATTAGCTTGTAGCGCGTCTGTCGAGATACAGCGAGGCGATTTCCTTTACTCCCGAAGCTCGACAATGAAGCCGCTCTCTTCTCTATCGGCGAGTGTTTTCTTTCTTTATTTTTACGAGACTATTAAAACGCGTTCACTTCGCCTCGAAGCACTCGCGGTCTCACGACGCCTTCGCGCCAGCAAAATTCGTCAGCTCACGGAGCAGCGTGCCAGAATTTACGCCCGATCCTCTCTCGCGCGTGCTCTCCCTCTCTCTCTCTCTCTCTCTCGCTCCCTCCTCGCCACGGTTTCTTCATTTGTACTTTTTAAAATTGTGCACTCCCGCGCGCGCGACTCTCCGCCCGATTTTTGGATCGTCTCGCGCCGCTGCGGCGCAGCACGCCGAGGGGGAAAGATAGAGACGACGACGACGACGACGACGACGACGACGACGACGACGACGACGACGACGACGACGACGACGACGAAAATAGAATATCGCTTCTTCTTCGGCTAGACACCTACGTACCCGCGCGTATGAGTTTTCGATGCCCTACGCCCGCCACTTCACGCCGCGATCACGCTCGCCCGCGTCCTCGTGATCGCGTGGTTTTATTACCGCGTCGCATTACACAAGCTGGACGCGCGCACTCGCGCTCGTCAGAAGCGCATCCGCTCGCGAATCGCAGGAGTGGCGTCTTTGTCGCGTAATTCTTGTCGCTGGTCGAAACAGAGCGGTACTTTGGAACGACCGGGAAAAGAACAAACGCGCGTATCGCGCTGACACTAGAACGCTCCTGCAAAATTTTCAACGGCACTCGCTTTTCCCTCCGCGGAGAATCTTGAGCAGCTTCGTTGTTTGATCACCCGATATTCCTATTTGCATAAAGACACATCCCTTTTTCCGTCGCGTTATTTATTAATGGCATAATTCTGTGGTGAATTTCGGGTGACGAGCTTTTCTCGTCGAAAATGTCGGGGCACAGATGATAAACGTAGTACAGTCTTGCGTCGCAATTATCGTAAATAACTCAAACGGGCCAACGGACTGAAGCTTGCGCTGTCGGGTCGCTCGGCGATGTTGTTTCGCATGATCGAGGATGGATAATGGAAAATAATGGAAAAGGATGGGAGAGTAGCTCGGTGTGCCGTGGGTTTTCGTCTCGCCGAAGCCGAGAGAGCCGTTGCTAGCCGCGAGAGAGATTTATTTGTTTTCCCTTGCCTGGCTACAGGAACCAGCAGTGATAGCGGTGGACCGACTGCACAGGTTTCGGTGGAGCGGGGGCGGAGGAGGAAGTGGCAAGAAGTCCTCTTCCGGCCCCCGCAGCGAGAAGGCCGAGCGCCTTCGCGAACTCACCGAGAAGCTCAAGGGACCGGCACCGGTCCCGCCACCGAGAAGACCGTCGCGAGTGCAGGCTTCCTCCCCTCCCCCGAGCGGATACCAGCCGTCGTCTCAAAATTATCCGCAGGTGAGGAATTCCAACGTCATGGTGACGAAAAGCCGACGTCTTCGGCTTCGCGCGCGCGCGCGCGCGCGGACCCCGCCGATGTCTCGCGTTACCGAATTCTTTTTCACGCTCTTCTCCTCGGCTTTTGCCGAGAAGACGAATGCCTCGAGCGCGCGCGCGCGACCTCGTTGCCGCTAATATTAAAATATTATTGTTTCGTCGCACAAACAGAGCGATATTGCGTAATTAGCTAATCGTTCATTCGCATAAAACGATCTCTACGTCATGGTGCATTCTTGAAGTAAAGTTGTCCCAATCGAGTGGAAGAAAGAGACTCAGCGTGATTTTCTTCAGTTTCTTCGTCGTATTTTCTCATTGCAAAGGCTATATTTTTCATATTCTGACGGCAAAGTTGTGCCGCTGAGAGCGAAGTAACGATCATTTTCCATTTTCGTATTTCCTGCTGGCGAAAATGGCCGGCGAATCGGGAGGAGGATCCGAAATTGATAAATCTCGAATTGAAGTTTGATCGTTATCTCGTCAATCAATCAAACGCGTCATAATACACGAAATAATACACGCGAGAATTCCGCAACATTCCGGGACATATGGGGATTTCTCCAGCACGTAGGGAAGCAATTTGTCGCATCGACTTTTTTTTATTATTAAAAGCTATTCCCTCTTCCGACTTCTCGACTTCCCAGGAGAGTTTCGGCCCGCGAGAACTCGCTCTTGTCGCGAGAATTCGCAAAAATGCTTCCCACGGCGCTCGCAACGATCACCGCATCTCTCTGAGCCACGTACGTACACAAGCACCGAGTAACATTTGTTATTCCGGTGTATATCGCGTATCGCGTGTCCCTCCTGCCCCACTCCCTCCCCTTCCGCCCTTTCCGTGCGTGTCGCCGCCCTCAGTCAATTTCCTCCGTTATGACGTCAGCCATCATACGTCGCAACAGGAATTAATGAACGCAACATCGGGTTACACAAATCCACATGACCTTTCATCCACGTGCCACGTGCGTAAAGTAAACCGCACCTTGACTTACTGCCCACATGAAATTAAATGCTCGGTTCAAATTCGCCCGCGATGCAAATGGGAGTTGTGTGCAAATACCTGCAGGATATGCCCTCGGCTTTTTCGCCGAGGAGATTCAAATCGACTCGCGCACGGTCCGGCTGCTTGACGGTCTCCTCTTCTGGATTCTTTCAGACGGCTACGAATCCCGGCTGCGGCCGTTGCGACGGTCGGCCGTCTCATCGCAGCTACACGTACAGCGAAGGCAGCCAACATGGCGGTAACAGTCAGCAGGCTCAACAAGCGCAACAGCAACAGCAACTGCAGCAGCAGCAGCAGCAGCAGCAGCAGCAGCAGCAGCAGCATGAACATCCGAAGACAATTGTCCGTAGTGAGAGTGTCAGTGAAGAGTGTCTCAGTGATCGCTCGGGGAACAACAACGCGTACAGCAGGAAGCCCTGCCACGACTCGAGGAAGTCCTCGAGATCAGGCAGACCCGAGAGAAACAGTGGTGACGTCAGTGACCTCAGGAGCGAGCCGAACGCCAGTGCAGAGGCGGCCAAGCACTTGAGACAGTATAGTGATTCCGTGGTGGACAGTGCTACGAGTGTGGACGATCTGTGCGATAATCTGAACGCCGCTTCCGGCGGCGGCAACGAGGGGGAGGCCCGGGACGCCATCACCAGGCTGGAGCCGCGTGGGTTGCTCGCCTTTCACAGGGCCGGCGCGCCCTTCAGGAGCGCCTCCTTTGGCCAGGTGGACTTTAATCAAGGTAAGCTTCCGCGTGTCACGAAGGCCGGCTGAGCTTGTTAGGAGGATCTCTCGGAGAGAGAGAAAGAGAGAGGGAGAGGGAGAGGGAGAGAGAGAGAGAGAGAGAGAGGGAGAGAGAGAGGCAGAGAGAGAAAGAGAGAGGGATTGTGCAGTCTAATTAAGCCCATTACGGCGTGAGACCGGAGTGTAGATTGCGCTCACGGTAAGATTTCACCTCATCGTCGAAGCAGGCGGAAGGGAAATCAAGGACACGCTCGGCCGCGACTAAATCGATTTTTTTCAGTTTTTTTATCGAGTGCTCCTGAGCTCGTCCTTTGTCATCGCTGATTAGTTTTGTGGACCTTGAGAAACTCCCGAGATGCCAGAATATGTAATCTTTATAATAATTGTATTGTAAAAACGCGTGAACCGTAGAGCTGAATATTTCGTTTTATACAACAGGAATATATTATTTCTCTCTCTCTCTCTCTCTCTCTCTCTCTCTCTCTCTCTCTCTCCCTCTCTCTCTCTCTCTCCGTGTCTCTTTCTCTTTCTGAATATGCATGCACACACATATATATTTTCTTTTACAATAAAACGCAGGATAAATTTTATTTGGAAATTTTTCGACATCATCCGCTTTCTTCGAAAAAATTAATATTTCTTTTGTGTTAGAACGCGTAGAGATTATTTACTGAATTTTTATCGCGTTAAAAGTAAACAGTCGATGGATTATCAGCATAAGACTGTTGGAATTAATTTGCGATATCGCGGATAATCCGACCTTCGTGTGAATCACTGCTAAATTCAAACACGAGCGTGGGAGAGATTAGGAAAACGATTATGGCTTTGACGTACCTTTTAATGCAATACGATCACACTGGATTAGCGACTGGAATAACGGAGATGATATTCCTGTGCTTTCGGTGACATCCCCCGCTGATCAGGAGGATCCCCGTGGCTCTTCGTAAAAGACCGCAAACCCGGAACTAAAATAACGCCACGGTGACAGCCTTGCATTAGGTTTCAACCCTGAACTACATAGCGCGGTAGTTTCGGTTGCATAATGGACGACTAGAAATAAGAAAGGTGCTAAGTGCATCTTTCAACGGGCTTCGAATTTCTAATGACAGTTCCAGCAACGAGGTGCCCTTGGCCTGTATGCGCGTTACTCGCTCTCAGGCCAGCTCAAAAATTCATTCGTCTCCGCAGGCTGATGAAGGGACTCGCATATTTGTAATAATCTACGAGTTAGATTGCAATTTTTATCTTAACAAATCAAGATAAAGAATGAAACAACATTCACTTATGAATAATTTATCATTTGTACGCGCGTGCATGTGTATTAGATTGCATCACGGTGGAATATCGTGAGAGGAAATATTCCGGCTAAAAAGACGTTACTCGTATAACGAGATATAAAAGACAGCTGGGATTCTCCGTGACGATATTGAAGGCGCGAAAAAGCGACGCCTCGTTGGCAAGCCGGAAACACTTCACGCTTCCGCGGCAACAAATCTCTCGAGACACCTTTTACGCCCGAAACGCGAGCACGGATAACCAGGTGCTCCTGAAATATCGCCGCCAGGATGTCCGCGCTCGCCCAAGTCACTTCTCTCCAAGATTTCGGATTGGAAGCCAAATCTATTTATCTAACGGCTGCTGTGTTTAACTCGCGCGAAGATTAAATAAATTTCGTCGAATACTTAACGGCACATGTCGTGTCCGGATTTACACGGTTCTTTGTGGCTCAATTTATCTCGAAATTGTCATTCGTCGTCTCGACTAGCAGTCAGCGTCAACCGTCGAGTGACTATCGTGACGGTATCGAATCAATCAAATTAAATCGGATCCAATCAAATTAATCGAATTGATACAATCTAACGATTATTAAGAGAGAATCACGAAACAAGCATGAGAGAGAGAGAGAGAGAGAGAGGGGGAAAGTGTCTTCCATTTCCTGCGTAAAAAAACGATCGGAATCTAATATATTATTTTTATAATTAATAATTAAAAATTTAATTAGTAATTTTAATCAATTTATATTTACATTCTGTAAACGATATCTATACTTGTGTGCGCATATGTGAAAAAAACGAAACGTCATAATTAATGCAAGTAAAAAGTTGTCTCGTGTCGACGGCGGCAAAAATCAAGTTAAAAAATTGCTTCTCTCTCTCTCTCTCTCTCTCTCTCTTTCTCGCGCGCTCCTCCTCGGCTGTTTAATCACACGGAACGGACTTTTGTATCGTACATCTCAATCGGTCGCAGCGCGTTCTCCGGAACTCCGCCAACGAGGTGCGCGCTGCCTCGCGTCTTCGAGATCTCCACTCGTCTCGCACGGTCTGTTTGTTATTATTGGAATGGTCCACCTCCTCGGCCTAAGAGCGCTGCCAAACTTACGTGACACTCGAGGAGGTAATTAGGACTTCCTCCGCTTCTCTCTCATCTCGCCTTCCCTCGCGACCGCGAGACGGCCTCACTGTTGCACACTCGGTGCAAGAGTACTTGAGTTATTATTAAAAACGGTTGCACGCGTAATACGCCTCTGGAACACGTCAGCTGGGGGATGTCTACTCGGGAGCCACTCGAATTTGCACGGATCATTTGCCTTTCCGCGATATATCGCAGTTATCAACGGTAATGTTTCACACGCTCCGGACCAGAGCGTTTGATCGCCTTGCATTCTGCAATTCGTTCTTTCAACTTATCACGCTTTAACTCGCAAAGATAAGTCCCTGTCGAGATCAATTTATGCTTCTGAAGAAAAAGTCTCAGCGCATGGAAAATCGTGTGTGACTGAAAAGTCACCGCCGAGGAAGAGCGCCGAGGAGAGCGAAGTTTCCGACTGATATACCGACTGATTACAATTTTCATCAAACTTCTCGTGAAGATCGATGAGAAAGAGATAAGGGTTGTCTATCTCACGCGATAAGGGACGAGCTTCGATTACTTTGTCGTCACCGCAAAGATATCGCTACTGAATGAACGTAACTGAATGAGAACCGACTGTTGCAAACAAAACGGAAAGAAGAAGAAGAAGAAGAAGAAGAAGAAGAAGAAGAAGAAGAAGAAGAAGAAGAAACCATTAGAATAATTTTAGAACAGGAAAGTGCAACACGAGCAACCTACACTAACCGCCGGCGAATCTCTGCCAGACGTAGATTTTCCTTTCAGCGCGAACTCGCACTCTCCTGTTGCAGCGAGCCGACAGAAGACCCAGCCGATCGCGACGTCCAACCGCGCCGAGTCCAAAGACGTGCGTGCGAGCACGCTGCCCCGTCGTCGCGGCGACGCGACCCCGGGTGGCACGACACCGCAGAACAGCCCCAATCGGCAGAGCCCGAGGACGTCGACGCCCAGCGTCGACAGCGCCGTCGGCTCCGCCGAGGGTCTCGGTGTGCCTCAGCAGGGCAACCTCGAGGAGATCCGGCCGAGGAGCGATGGCTCCGACAGCCTGGCGACCTCCAGCGCGCTCACCAGCCCGGAACCGCTGGTACCGGAGACGAACGAGCCACGGGTCGACCTGGTGCAGTCGGACGCCCCGGTCGTCGAGGTGGTCAGCCATGAGTCGGTCTACCCGCTGGTCGAGGGCAACACCGTCGAGGAGACGGTTCAGAAAGGTTAGCTCTACACCCCAAAAAAGTATTCTATTTGTAAGTTTGTTGACTTTTCCCACAGTCTCATATTCTAAGCGAAGCCTTCTACAGAGAAAGGTCTCCTCTTTCGACAAAGCGATTAAAGCGAACCATTCATCTAAAATTTATTAGATATTATTCTAACTGTCTTCCTCTTATTTCAAAAGGATTTTCTCTTATATCATATTAATTTTCCTCGCACATGAAGAGGAATATGTTGATGTTTAAATGTTGGCTTCTTTTGTTCAGCCACGCTAGGAAAAAAAATTTAGTATCTCTAACAAAACTGTTTAGTTGAAGCATTTTTTAATAGCAACCAAATATCTTGTTTTATATAACAAAATATATTTAGTTGTCTCAACTAAACGTTGAATAATATATTCTTTCTTTTAACTATATTTCATACAATTGGTTATGATGAACATCTTTGTAGCTATGAAGTCCATAACAAAACTGATTGGAAATTTATTTGTTATGATGTTCGTATCGTCTTATGTCTATATCTAATCTTTCATTCGTGCCTATTTATTGTAGAACTGGAAGTACATCTATATATATATATTACTTTTCGCTATACATAACATACAATAATTTTTGTCAAATTAACCAGTAAGAACAAAGTACAGTAAGAATAAATAATAATCTTCTTAAAAAAAGATTAAATAATCTGTGTATAAGAGGAAATTTGTATTAAAATCAATAAGATTTGCATTGCATACATGTAATATATAATCCCTCTAACTTTAAGAATAATGTGCTTATAATATTTATATTTTCCTCTTAATCTTAGAGGGATCCTCTTAAGGCCATACATAGTATAAAATCCTCTAAAATTTAGATGATTGCGCTTGTCCTGAAATTACTTTTTTTTTTGGATGTAGCTGAAAAGTTTGACTCTAGCGGAGTTTCTCTCGGTTAGAACCGCGGGTGCTTTCGAATTGAAGAGCCCAGGGAGGAATGCATTTTCTTCTCTCGGACGACGCTTCGTTGGTTTGTCATTGTATCGCTTTTGATTTCGGCGAGAGACGTGCTTCCCCGGCATCTGTGCGTTTCTTCGTTCGTTCGAAAGAGGAAGTTGCTTCTCGTCGGCGGTCGCACGCTTGGTCCCTTCCGTCCCGCGCTGAGCGACTCGAGATTTGCTGCATCGTTATATTGCATGTCTCTCCAGCTCCGTTAAAACTGCCTTCTCATTTGACTCGCACTTTTTTGATCGTTGCGTGACACAAGAATACGTTTCACAAGGCGGATCACGTCTGTCGCGTAGACACACGCGTGCACGGCGCGTCTCACGGGCGTAATCTCGGGAAAGAAGAGAAAAGAAAGGCAGCGACGGGGGGGAGGGGTGGGTGCGAAATCCCGAGGCAGTTGGAGAGCAAAGTTTCCGTCCGGCCCGTAGTAGCGGATCGATTGTGCGAGAGGTATCTCGGCAGGATATAAAACGGAAATACACTCGCGCGTGGGAGTCCGCGTGCGGGCAAGATCTGCACGCTCGAATTTCGCGCGGCATTGCTCATCGCGGTGGAAACAACGGTCGCGCGGCGGCCGAACGAAGAAGGCGAACAAGAAGAGAGCCGGGCGTGTGCTCGCCGCCGCTGCGTGATTGTCGTCATCGCTTGAGAAATGCGTGTCGGTTCATCATTTATTGTGAATAGCGGCGGCCCTCCAGCCGCCGCCGCCGCCGCCGCCGCCGTCGCCGCCGCGAGAAAGAGAGAGAGAGAAAGCGCGACGAGCGCGTGAAGTCATCAATGAAGATGGCTATAACTCAATGACGCTCAAACGTCTATATATATGTGTATATATTTCCACCCTGGCACCCACCGTTCTGAAAATAGTGCCGCGCAAAATAACATGGAACTTGCGTGCACCTTTGTACCCGTGCTCCTGTCGATGCACCGAAAATAGCCCTCCCTCCCTCCCTCCCTCTCTCTCTCTCTCTCCCTCCCTCCCTCTCTCTTTCGATTCTCTTTCTCTCTCGCCGACCTCGCATCACCCCTCGTCCGACATCGCGAAGTACATGGGCGTCCATTTCATTCGATTCCGCGCTAATAAAGCCGGCTCTCTCTCTCTCTCTCTCTCCGTTCCGATCGCATCCGCGCTTCGACGAGTTCTCGCTCGCGCGAGCTCGTCTCGTCCGGGCTGGTCGAAACGCCCCGCAGAACGGGTCTGGAATTCGAGAAAGAGATTACCGGTCTCGTCAGCGGCCTCTCGGCTCGGAATTAACGCGAAACCGCTCAGACGGATCTGTGGATTTTAATGTTACGTTTCACCGGGGACGCGTGAAAATTTATAGATCACGGCTACGGCTATGAAAGTTCCTCCGAAAGCGAATTGTGGCTGACGAGTCGTCGACGATAACATCGTCGAGAGAGAACGACGTCGCTCGGCGACGATGTCCCTCCGCTCCGTCCGAATCTCTCTCTAACGCAAAACCGTCGCGACAGAGCGAGGGAACGATGAGAGCGCAGGAATGCTTTTTAGAGACCAGGATAGAGCCGCACGAGGTGATCATCACGCCACCCCCGGAGGAGCCGCGCTTGAGCCAGGCGAGCGAGGGCAGCGAGGCGCTGAGCGAGACTCCCTCGGAGGCGTCCTCGCCCTCCGGCAAGGCGAGACGATACCGCGGCGACACCAGCAAGAGGAGGAAGGGCGTGTACATAACTCAATGGCCGGAGCCCTTGGACGCGGACAGAAACAAGCTGTCGGCTCAGAGCAGCGAGGAAAGAGACGAGCCACCTGCGACGCCCAGCGACCTGTCCGACTGCGAGGGCCACACGCCTCGAAGGTAACCGGAGAACCTACCCGCCGACCCCTTCGAAATAGAACGGAAGTGCGCCTGATACGTCGGCTCGACGCGTTCCTCCTTCGGTTAGGGCGAACCCTTTCTTAATGACAGCCCCGGTCAAGTAATTATGACACTCGACGGCCGAGTCGGATTATAATCAGCCTCACCGACTCTCCTCCACCCGGTTCTTCTTCTTCTTCTTCGCGCGGATTTTTCTTACCGTCGCTTTGACTTTCGCGGGCTAGCCAAACGTAATTCGAGCTTTTGAAAGCGGTTTCCTCGCGTTTGGGAATCGCGCGTGGTCTACGTTGAGCCGAAGACCTAATCTATATTAACCCACTCAGCTCGTCTCGCCCATTATTAGCGAGGGCTTCCGCCGCCGGTTTGATTGATCTCTCAGACGAGAGGGAAATTATCTCGCGACGAGGGGAGGGCGGAGGGGACGGGTTATAGGCCAATCGCTTGCTTCCGAATGCGACTACGAATCCTGAATCTCCGATGTCAAGGTACAGCAAGAGGCCCCTGCGTGGACCCTACGGGCAGATGCTGGAGGCCGAGATGGCGAAACCGCGCACCACCGACATCGCGCTCGAGGAGGGCCTGCGCCCCCGCAGGAAGATCTCCGCGAATCTCTCGTACAACGCGAGCAGCAACAACAGCGGCTCCGAGCCGCCCACGCCCTGCCACCACCGGACGACCTCCAGCCCGACGAAACTCGAGGGACTTCCGGGGCCGAGTCCCGAGCTGCTCGCGGAGCTGCTGAGAGGATCCTCGGAGAGGGTGGCTCGCGCACCGGCGCATCGAAACGTGAGTCAGATTATCTCGCTTCGATATAAATTGCCGGTTACAATGGCCGGCTCTACGTTTCGCCCGTTTTTTTCGCGATAAGGCCGCAGATAAGACGCGAGGGAGGCTCGTAAAGTATCGTCCGCGCGCTTCGTGCGGCTCGCGTTCGTTATCGAGACGTTTGATGCATGCACTCGGCTTGATTAACCGACGAACAATTTCTCTCCGGAGAACTCTCTCGGCTCTGTTCTCCCCTCTCTCTCTCTCTCTCTCTCTCTCTCTCTCTCGCTCTCTCGCTCTCTCGCTCCCTCTCGCTCGCTCGCTTCTCCGCTTTTTTCCTCTTACACGCCCGTTAAGAATCACGCGAGGTCGTCGTGTTTCGTTAGAATCTCAATCGAACGCGACGCGTGAGGCCGACGCTCGCGCTCTAAATTCGCGATGGAGTTCCTATTTTGAGCCTCTGATGAAGATACACTGACCTCGTGAGACTTGTTGAATAGTAAACATCTCTGTGGTCGTCGTTGCCGATGCTGCCGTTGAGGAGAGATCGAGAGTCGCACGAGAGTGCGATTTGTTGGTCGGATATTTCGTTTTTCGAGTTTCTCTGCCGCACCGACCGACAGGAGATCTCATTCGGCTCTTAAACTCTTGGCCGCGTTTTTGTGACTAATTCCCGGCGTATGCGGGAAAGACAGAGCGAGGTCGAGCGGCGGAGGGTGATGGAGGGGGCGGGGCGTTCTTCTCTTATTAAACGAATAAATCTCGCAATGAGACGGTGACATTTCGCGCTAAATGTGCTGCGTGAACGCGAGCCAAAGAATTTCGATTCCGCTTCTTCGCCGCCGGCGGTCGGCGGTTTCGTTCGTCTTCGGATACAAAGACGCTGAGCGTCCTTATCTTGTCGTATCTCTGGCTCGGCTATCGGCGCTGCAGCATCTGGCCGAACGATCACGAGGAGGAAGCGCCGCGCCGCGCCGCGCCGGCGAGCCGAAATCCAGCCGGTGCCTCGCGCGAAACGAATGGCTGAGCTCGCTCGCGCCCGTTCGACTCCAGCGCCGAAAACATAATCTAATAATAATGTACGGCCATATTTCTCGGATGAGTCCGTGCCTTGGCCAGTGCACTCGAGGTTGGTATAGCGTCCCTACGATTCTGGCACAGCGGGGGCGTGTACGTGGATATTCCTGGCGGGTTAGGCGTACCTGGGGACCGGTCTTCGACGTCGACACGATGGTTCGCGTGCCGCGGTCGTCTTGACGCAACCTTCGCGACCTTGCGCGCCGTATGCGCTTATCGGCACGGCAAAAGCGGACGCGATTCACGCGATTCACAGGCGGAGCCTCGCGACGAATCTGTCTCCGCGTCTCTGCGGCGAACTCGCGGCAGCGACGCTGCTCTCGATCGGTCGTCCGATGAGAAGAAAGAATTCGCGGAAATCTCGCACACGAAAGGCCAGGTTTGGCCTCACGATAGTCTTTTCTCTCGAATTTGCTCGCTCTCTTGTACTTTAGTATCGGCTGGGCTGTAATTTTCACAATTAGCCTCGATAGTAGCTCTCAGTAGATTCACTCACGGGCCGATAAACACGAAGAGGGGAGGACGGAGGAAAGTCCGTGCAGGAGGAAGTACCTTTGAAGATATTTCTGCATCCCAAAGAAAAGTAATTCCAGAACAAGCGAGATCATCTAAATTTTAGAGGATTTTATTCTTATACATGGCTAGTCAATTTTACGCAGATTAGGTCTCGCTAACCGATTCGAATTGGAACGGTTCAAGTATCCGTGTCGACGACCTCGATTTTCCTACGTTGAGAGAGAGAGAGAGGCGGGAGAAAAGGAAAAAAACAGGATTTCAGACGGAAACGAACATTGGGCGTTTCTCACCGTAGTTGATTGGTTTTGCATAGTCGCCTCCGCACAATCCGCGGTAGAAATTTACGCAATTCCGATGAACTTTCTTATGCAACGCGCGTGTCCTCTATTCGTCGCTGTTTGTCACCTGGAAAGAACAACAAAGAATCACGGGTGCGATAGGCACCGTTCTATCCGTCAGAGTCCTTGGCGGCCGCATATATATCACTTAAGGATGTTGCCACAAATTGGTCACGTTCTCCGCTCTCCGCAGCGTCCGTTAGCGCAGCCAGACGGATTCTCACGCCGATCGAACGATTCGTGATCGCGGAATATCGCGCGTGAAATGTTAAGACGTTTTATGTACCAACGGCGAAGCTCGACTCATCCCACAACGTCGCGGCGTCTCCTAGAGGTGTAATTTTTCTTCGAAGTTTTCATGTTCGAAGCTTCGAAGCTTCGATACAAATTATTCGACGATCGAAGTTTCGAAGCATCGAACCCTCAAAGTTTCAGTCTTTGAACTTTTTATTTATTTATTTATTTATTAATAATATACAGTTATTAATAATATACGGGTCTGACTCCTTTGGTGTACAAGGATGACACAGTAAGTGATAAACGAGTGAGAAAATTCTCATGCAATAAAAGTGAAAGAAAATACAAAATAGAATATATAAAGAAGAAATATATAGAGAAAAAGAGAAGAGAGAAAGAAAGAAGGAAAAAGGAAAGAAAAAGAAAAAAGACAACAACAAAAATTTCCTTATACCTTCCCCTCTCAGAACACTCAGAAATTTCGAGAATTCGAAAGTGTTCGGGAATCGAATCACGAGCCGATACTTTTGTTATCCACGGAATGTAAAAATATATATATGACCGAGATGGTCTAGCATGCAGTGCGTGCATGCAGAAACAAAGAGCGCAGACTCGAAAAAACGACCGCCCCGCGCATTCTTCGAATCTTCAAATATGTCGAAACTTCGAAGAGTGACATCCTCGAAGACTAGTCTTCGAAGCTTCGACGCAAAAAACTTCCAAGTTCAAAGTTGACTTCGAAGCTGCCGAAGAGTAACAGCCCTAGTATCTTCCCGCTCAAACGTGAGAACCGTGGAAGTCGGCGGAAAATGGCGAAAGCGCGTGTCGATGTTTTTCGTTCGTTTTACTTGTTTCTCCCGATTCTGTGTTTAGTATAGTTACTTCGTTTTACTTTTCGTCGACTTTTATCTCTTCGCTATTATTGCCACATCTTTTTTACCGGCCCACGCGTCCTTTTGTCTCGCACTCTATTTATTCCGTTCAACATTTTCCTTCCGCGAACGCACGCATTTTCTCTCTGAATTTTAATGTCAGCCACCATCTGACATTACTTGAAAAAAGTCGCTCGCGCACGGAAGGTCACGATGCGACGAGCGCGAGTTGGAGCGCTTCTCGGCTAAATGACGAGCTGGCGCCGCGGCGCATCGCGCAGGTACATTGACGAGTACGCGCGGCCGAGGTCAATAACGACGAATCGTGCTTCCCAGCGCACGAGAGATATTCGTCGAAAATTCGCGCGGACGTCTCGAGCGCGCGAGAATCTCCGTACGAACGCTCGCTCGGGATCTCGGCCCGCGGACGAAGATTAACGGGGCTCTTCGCGGAATTTACATCGCGACGCACACACACGAGCGCCGCGGAAATTAGTCACAGCGGAAGAAAGCAAAGTTGCATCGCGCGCGCGCGCTGAGAGAAAGCAGAATTGTTTACGACGCGAGGCGAAATGCATTTACGGCGATACTCGGCGCGCGCCGCTCGCAGTCGCCGCGCGGCGAGAGAAAAAGGGACGACAAGGGCGAGAGAGGGGGAGAAGTTTTTACGAATTTGGTCAAAGCCGCATTTTTACGCGCGTGATGCAACTCCGAGGTGCGCGCCAGGCCGAGTTGCAGCAGCAGCAGCAGCAACGCGGTTTGTACGCAGCCGCGTTTTCACCGGGCAGCAGCGAACTATTTCCTCCGCGAACCTCCACCGGCGACCCTCCGTCGACGTCATGTTTACCGCTGACGTCACGACGCCTAGGCGTCGTGAATTTTGCGTTCCATTCATGAAATTCCCGTCGAGCGTCGTGAATGACGTAATACCCGAGCTCCTACCACGCGGCCCTCGCTTGCGAAAGCTCGCCGTCGAGCGATATCCTCCCGAATTTTTGCCCTCCTCGCGCTATCAGCTTTCACCCCGCCGCTTTCGCCCGGCTCGGCCGTCCCCCCCTGCCGCGAGCTTTGGCGATCGTCGTGATGCGCGCGAAGATGCGTTGAGAGAGTTTCGGGTGAAGTCTCGCCGTCGCCGCTCGCAAGTGAAAACCGAGTGAAGCCGCGGGCGTGAACGATTTTGGAAATCGCAAAACCTAACGCTCGCGAGCGGACGTAAATCGACGAGTCGTTTATTCGCCGACGTGACGCAAGCGTGACTTGACGCAACGGCGCGTCGTAGTGATTCAACTCGGAGCAACTCGGCCGTGCGATTTCGCAAGTTATCCCGCACGCAGAATTACCGAAACTCGGCGGATATCTCTTGTCTCGCGTTTCCTTCACTTCACTTCGATGATAAGTCGAGATGTGACTGAAGAGTCACGTCGCGTGGAATGCGCGTGTGTTTCGCCGTCCAATTTTCACGTGGATCCTCGGCCCGCCGACTCCCCTCCCCCGCTATCGCTCCGTTCGGGGATTTAAGGAGGGAATTACACGCGGAAGGCCGTTTTCAAGGCTATTCTCACGAATTTTTTCCACAGAAACGGTAAGATCAATGGACTTGAAATATTCACGGTGTATTCATTCGAAGTATGAAATAAATGTTATTGAATCACAAGAACCGATCCAATTTGTAATTATAGATAAAAATGCTTTCATCCGTCTGCGAGCTCTATGCTTTGCTGTCGACATAATTCCGGGCCTCTCACTACTCCGAAACCAAAAAATTAGAAAGATTTTTTAAATATACGGTTGTCCTTATAGCCTGTACCAAAATGAAGGCAGTGAAGCCAAGTTTGAAAAAATAATGACTGTACAAAGAAAAAAGTATCGAAAATGAAACTTTTTAAAGCTTGTATCACCATGTTTAAAAAAAAATGAATAAAATAGAATATAACTGTGCCCGAAGTAGGGATAAAACTAAACAACTACGTGTCTACTGTAT